AGGGAAATGCATGAACTAAAAAAAAAAAAAGTGAGGTTAAGGAATAGAACTAGATCACAGTGCAATAAGGCAACTATAGTGTAGAAACTAGGTATTACATTTCTTATTTCCTAGCCTTGTGCTGTAAAGGCCGAACGTGGTCCTACGTATCCTGAATTCTTTATACAGGGAAACTTTTCAGTAGAATCTTTTTTTAATCATTTTTCTTTCCTGCTTTCTCCTTCACAGGAGAGTGACTGCCAAGGTTAGGCAAAGTACTACCAAAGATTTTTGTAGTGTAGGAGCCAGATGGGGTATAAGATAAGAGATTGGGTAAAGACTACAAAGATGCTTTTTCATTTACACTTGTTTTAAACTCAGAAGCAATGATTCAGAGAAGTATCTGTATTTCAGAACTTACATTGTGACAAAACATTTCACTTGACGGTTGACACCAAGAGGCAAATAGAGCTTTCACACTAAACTGGGTATGTTAAGAAGATACTCAAATTTACTTGAGTTGGCTTGCATACAAAAAACCAAATAAAATTCAGTCAGTCATGGGGAAGAAGCCTCCAGAATTTAAGTATAGGAGAAGACAAATTAAGCAGCTGTCATGGATGGATATCTGTAAGAGAGTTTGAGATAAGAAATCAGTGATATTTTCTAGTCATTAATTTACTAGTATATTGTATGTGAAAACTTGAGCTGCTGTTTTACCACATTTTAGAGAAGCTGCTGGCATGATATCAAATGGGGCTGGAACCTCAGAGCAAAGCTTAAGCTGGGAAAAACTGTTGCTTTTAGGGCAATGAGAATCTGCTCGTGAGAGCTCAGTGCTGTTCACCAGAGAAACTTTAAACCTCTGTGTTTCACAGGACACTATTTCATAAACTCCGAGTACGTGATTGCAAGTGCTGATCATAGCCACATGCTTCCCACCTGATTTTCATCTGGATTATACTTTATGTACGTAAGATTTATGCCTGTTTTAAGAGTGTCTTGCTGTGTAAAAAGGCATGAGCAGAAAAGTGAGAATGTTGGCTATTGGGAAACATGTAAGGTTCTCTCAAACCCAGGAGAATTGTCTTTATGGGACTCCTTGAATACCACTTCTATTTGTAAAGTTTTTTTAGTTCTTAACGAAAATTGAAAAATAACGAAACTTGATGCATTCATGACCTGCTTATCAAGATAACTTCATCAGCAATACAGTAATTGCCGAACACTGCCATGTGGCTCTGTGGTTTAGCATGCAGTACGTGAAACACATTAGGTACGAGATCTTAGATATCACATCCATATCCACAATTTGGCAGCTGCACAAGATGTCCAGGACTCCTCTGTGCATTTTCCTTTTTCTGCCTCAGAACAAACACAGTACTAATGATAGAGTTTTTTTCCCTGAGTTTAGCACGCTGTGAGGCCAGTATAAATTTTAAGGCTGACTAGCAGAAGCAAGAGAGCTCAAAGAGCAATAACTGCTGTACCCCAGGGAGGACGTGTGCACTGCTAGTTGTTACTGAAACAATAATAGACTTATTGTGCAGATTACTTCATATGTTTATTATCCAGAGAGAAGCAAGGTCCTGGCAAGTCCACATATTGCTTCACTGAGAATCCAGTGAGGAAAAGAAACATCTCTGAATGCTATAGTGAAAAGGTCTCTGGTTGTGAAAATGAGAAGAGCCTTGCCTCTGTGCTGTGGATTAAGCATGCAGAATGCCCTGAGCATCGCTGCCTCCAAAGCCACCGAGCTCTGAAATAACGTTTGCTTATGCAAGATACCAGCGCATCTTTCAAGCAAGTGCAAGTGGAGAGGACGAAGGAGCAGGTGACTGCTGGACGTGCCGGTGTGGACAGCCTACAGCCATCTTCAGATCCACCCAGAGCACACGAGGCTGTACGCCCACGCCTGACAACGGGCAACAGCAACAACCAGGTCGGCAGCAATAACCGCTGCCCTCGAAGGAGTTAACTGGCCGTTTTCAGAGGCCCCAGTAGGAATGCTGGGCTGATGCAGTTTTGACAAGGTGAACGTGACTAAGCCAGCCTCTGTAGCAATAACTGATCACTGCTCAGGTTGGGAAACTACAGTTGCTTCATGTGGAAACTGAGCAGACTGTGCTGTGTTTACATAGGGGGGGAAATCTAAAAGCCAGAGCTTTGACTGGTGTGTCACTTTGTCGGTCGTTACAGGGAAAACGAGAGCCGATTTGTTTGTGTGTATCCAGGTATGTATTAAGAAACCCTTGAAAACAGCAAAAGGAGGGAGGCATCTTTTTGATAGCCGAGGAACATGGATTAGGGTTAAAAAAGGCATCTGGGTGGCAGAGTGGTAGTAACCTCTCATGTTGTGTTTCTCAGGGATCTGGCCCTTTCTGGATTGACTTCTCCCTTCTCAACAGTCCACAGAATTTGAGGGAATTTTGCTACTCAGTCCTTGAAAACATGAGTAATGCCTACAAACTGCTTCCTCCTCAGTGCTGAGCTGTTTTCATTAAGATCTGGTTATTCGTTCTTTCCTGGGAAAAAAAACTGCGTTTACGATTAAAAATACACAAGCACAGCTTTGTTTTGTGTGCAATAGAAATATTCATACACTTGTGTGATTCGTAATGCAAGTATAAAATTAATAAATGAGAGTAGATTTTATTGCATGTTTTCCCGTGAGCCTTAAATGTCCAAAAGGCATCATGCTTTGATTTATAATGAGGCTTTGAGTTGTGGTTTGTTGTTTTTTTTTTTTGCTGAAAAAATAGCATATCTATTGCTCTTATTATGAAAAAATGGACTATTTAAAGCATAACAGATGGTAAATGAGGTATGTTCCTTTCTTTCTTGTGTGTTCAAAATGCCATTTGATTTTTTTTCTTATAAAGAACTGAAAAAATAAGTTGTGATTTGAATATAAAAGTAGATTATCTTCTTTCCTTGCTGATAGAGTGTATGTGCATGATTATAAACTGATGTTTATCGAGTATTGAGTTAAAAAGCTGTAAATGAGCGTAATTACAAGTGTGAAGAAAGCACACTTATGCTGTGCAGATCATTGTAAAAATCTGACATTTCTTCTTGGGTGCAGGGGATGCTATTCTTGCACACCAGAAAGTATGGCAGATACCCAGGTTGCTTTGCAGCTGAAGAAAATAGCGAAGAACAGTCAAGGGGCAGAAAATACTTAAAGTACATCTCCTCCATATTGGAGTAGAAGGTATAATGACTCATAAAGTTGCATTTTCAGTCTGGAAAAATTGAAAAAGAAGAGTATAAAATCCTTTTTCCTTTGAATTAGTGTTATTCAAAATTCATGTAACAATGCCAAATTTCTAGTAACCTGCAGTGAAGTATCTTTTTGCTCTTCTTGTGACTTAAAAGAACAATTTCCTATATTGATAAATTCATAGCAAAACCAGAAGATTGATTGTATACATAAGTTTGACTGTTGTGGGCAGGAATGTGCTTCCTGTGAAAAGTGGAGACTTCCTTTTCTAAGTGGAAAAGAGGGGAGGGGGTGGGTTTGTGTCACACAGTCCATCCTAAGGAAGAATGCAAAGAGCCTTCCTACTGGATGGGTGCAGTTTGATTGCTGGAGGCAAGGTCAGGGTTTGGTAAATGACCTCAATGTGTCCTCCATATACCTTGTCAGTAGCCCATTTTTTCAAGTACAGCAACAGCCACAGGCAGGTCATCTACTCAGGGGCTCCAGACTAAAACAGAAAACCATCTGCCTGTATGTGAATTTAAGCAATATTATCCTTAGACTCATAGATGCTGTAAGGAGCTGCTAGAAGCTTCCCTGGCTCCAAGTTGAACCTGCCACTGGCCAGGGCTGAGCCAGTCAGCACCTCTGTGAATGACATATTTAAGAAAGGGACAATTAAACCTGTGGCCGTGGGGAACCTGCAGCTGAGAGAGGGTGGGGGCGAGAGGCCTGGCCTCTGGCCTCCCCCACGCAGGCGGTTGCCCACGCTGGGCCAGTGCCACTTGACTGGAGATGGCCACAGCAGCGCGGCTTGGAGCGTGCTTTCAAGTGCCCCACTCCCGGGGTGCCTGCTGGGTGGATTTTGTCCTGCTGGGACTGCCAGGGTTCGTTGGGCTTGATGTGGGTGGAGTGGAGAGAGGAGTGGGATGTGAGAGAAACAGCTCTGCAGACACCAAAGTCAGTGAACATGGAGCAGGAGGAGGTGTGCTGGAGCTGAGATTCCCCTGCAGCCCGTGCTGAGATGGCAGGGGGCCCTCCTGCAGCCCATGGAGAACTCCACACTGGAGTGGGTGGCTGTGCCCTAAGAAACTGTGACTCTGTGGGAAAAGCCTGCATTGGAGCTGTCTGATGGGTAAGGACTGGATTCTGTGGGAAGGAAAAGTTTGTGGAGAACTGTCTTCTGTGGGAAGGGACCCCACGTTGGAGCAGGGGAAGAGTGTGAGGAGTCCTCCCCCTGAGGAGGAAGGAGCGGCAGAAACAATGTATGATGAACTGACTGCAACTCCCATTCCCCATCCCCCTGCGCTGCTGGGGGGGACGAGGTAGAGCTGGCAAGAAAGGAGGCGGAGAGGGGAGAAGTTTTTAAGATCCGGCTTTGTTTCTCATTATCCTCTCTGATGTGACTGGTAACAAATTAAATTGATTTGTCCCCAGGTCAGGTCTGTTTTCCCCATGATCATAATTCGTGAGTAATGCCTCCCTGCCCTTGTCTCGACCCTCAGGCCTTTTCTTAAGTTTTTCTTCTCCCTATCCCACTGGGGAAGGAGTGGGCGAGTGGCCGCCTGGTGCTTAGTTGCCAGCTGGGCTAAACCCCAGCACAGGAAGCTGGAGTGTGAGAGGGATCTCATTTGGGTAGAAAGTGGGTTGTGGGGGCAAATCATGGAATGACATGCATTGGAGAGCCATTGTG